AGCGCAGAGGGCGAGGAGAGGGGCGTGTTGGGGCGGGGCGGGGGCGGGACCTGGCTCGAGCGGCGACAGAAAGCGAGACCCGCTGGGTGGGGGGATCCATAAGTCCGTTCTCCGCTTGGGATGAAACGTCGCTGCAGCGCAGTTTTACCCCCACAGTAAAGCTGATGTCTAACAGGGTATCATTAGCTACTTTGTCTGACGTTTGGGAGAAATGAATGAGCTAGCTAATGTAAACAGTGTGTCCCACGTGGGGGCCCAGTTCCTCCTGTTATTATGCTGGTGACTGGCTAAAGACCTCTTTTTTTTTTTTTTTTTTTTTAAGTTTATTTCTTACGTGAGAGTGAGAAGAAGACAAACACTCTTTTATTTATTTATTTATTTTGGAGAGGTTTTTGCTATAGGGTGCGTTCGCTGGCCAGACAGAGAGACAGAAAAGATTTTTGCTATAGGGTGCATGCGCTCGCCAGAGAGACAGAGACAGACAGAAAGCGAGAAATCACGCCCAGGGGGGATGACCACGCGGCAATCCCTTCTCCTCCATTCTCCTCTTGGGCACTCATGCACACGCGCCCGGCGTGAGTTTAAGCCGCGACTTGAACCACGGTCGACTACATGGGAGTCCAGCATCATAGCCATTACGCTAATTGCTGGTCCCAAGATAAGTACTGTTAACAGGGTCCCATGTGTGATCTCCTCAGCCTTCCCAGCTAGTGAGGATCATGGGGCCTGGATGTTCATCAACTGGGGGACCCAAGCCAGATCTTCTTATGGGTCCAGCTTCACTTGAGCAGTATCTAACCAGTGCACCATCCAGCCAGGTGTTTAGTTTTTTAAAATACTAACACCCCTACTTTTCTTCTTACAAAAGTGGTTTTCTGGGACTAGCAGATGGCATAATGATTATGTGGCTGGACTCCCACATAGTCAACCATAGCTTGAGTCCCAGATCCAGCGGCTTAAAACTCAGAGGGGGAGGGGGAGGACCAGCAGTTGGTGTAATAGCTACGTCACTGGGCTCCCATGTAGTCAACCATGGTTCGAGTCCTGGACATTCGGTGGACACCGGGTGCGTGTGCGTGCGTGCCCAAGATTCCGAAAGGAGATGGGATTGCTGTGTGGCCTCCCCCCCAGGGGGTGATTTCTCACTTTCTGTCTTTCTTTCTGTCTTTCTGGCAAGCCCATGCACCCTATAGTAAAAACCTCTCATAAACAAACTCAAAGAGTGGGAGGGCTGGGGGGGAACACCAACAGGTGGTATGGTGGTTAAGGCACTGGACTCCCACATGACTGACCACGGTTCAAGTCTCAGACGTGATGGCTTCCTTTCTCACATTCCCTCCCTCTTTCTCTGATTAAATTTTAAAATAATAAATTCAAAATAATGCTTAAAAAAATAAATAAACTCACCCCAGTTGCGTGTGCATGCCTGCCAAAGACCCTGAAAGCAGAATGGAGAAGGGATTGTGGCATGGTCATACTCTCCCCCCCAAGGAGGGGGGTGATATCTTGCTTTCTGTCTCTTTCTTTCTGGCGAGCACATGTGTCCTATAACAAAAATCTCTCTCTCTCTCTAGAAATTTTTTTTTCTTTTTAGTTGTTTACTATAGAGCACTGCAATGGCTGGGAGAAAATGATAAATCATCTCCTGGGGGAAGGGTCAGGTCACAATCCTTTCTCTCTTTTCTCCTCTTGGGATCCTGGGCACGCATGTGCAAAAGCTCAGCATGTTTTTTAAGCTGCCATGTCTAGGACTTGAACATGCAGTTGGTCATGTGGGATCCAGCTGCCTTAACCACCAGGCATGGCTGATCCACAAAAGTGGCTTTGTTAAACCACTGAATCTAGAGACCTAACCCAGGTGAGCTTCGGCAGAGGAGATGGGTTATTCACATTTGTTCATTCCATGTCTGGTAGGGATTTACTATGTGTGGGCCTCTGTGGCTAATTCAAGTGAACCAAAAGTGAGCAGTGTCGAGGGGAGAGGTTAGCAACTTCCATAAATGTATCAAGGCATCAATTTGCCTTGGATTTTTCTCCCTGGTAGCCAGCTAGGGTCCGTGGGAAGACAGTTGGGTTCCTCCAGTTGGCTGCTATGAAGAGAAAGAGAAACAAAGCACTTCGCAGGCTTGGCAAGTGCATTGAAAGGGTGGGCTACAGAACTGAAGCCAGATGAGATGGCAAGTGAATAGAGAGAAGGCAAAAGACCAGTGGACAAACTGAGGACCCAAAGGTTGATGGACAGCCACAGGAGTGGCAAACTGGAGGGGCATGCTTCAGTTACCGATGTCAGAAACGCTCAGTCCAAGCAGCAGTCCAAGGGGGCACTGCGGGAGCCAGACAAGTGAAGGGCTGTCATTACACAGGGAAGCAGAGGGCCAGGTTGCTGGAGCGTCCTATGGACACTGGAGCCAGGGCAATGCAGGTGCAGCAGGACAAGGCCTTTCAAGTATACGCCTGAGAGACAGGAGGAACACCTTCCATGAGTCATGGCTTCTAGCTTCTACTGAACATCCTGCTTTCCTAGACACAGTGAACTGAGGCAGAAGTTTATTTTTTATTTTTTGAGAGGTTTTTGCTACAGGGCACGTGTGCTCACCAGGGAAACAGAGAGAGACAGACAGAAAGCGAGAAATCACCCCCCCCGGAGTGAGGCCCAGGCCACAATCCCTTGTCCACCGTTCTTCTCTCGCCATCTTGGGCACACACACACACACACACACGCCCGGCGTGAGTTTAAGCCACCTGGTCTGGGACTTGAACACGGTCAACTACATGGGAGTCCAGAGACATAGCCATTACACTAACTGCTGGTCCCAGCACTTTACTTTATTTGCTGTTTGGGCACTCAGAATAGTCTCTCCTTTTGTATCACTGAAAGGGCAGGGTTTTTTGTATGTTTTTTTCCTAGGAACCTAGCACAAAGTAGGTACTCAATATTTGTTGGAAGAATTAATAATTAACTTACTAAGACTAAATGAGAGGGAACCAGCAGTTAGCGTAATGGCTATGTCACTGGACTCCCGCGTAGTCAGCCGCAGTTCGCGTCCCGGACCTGGTGGCTTAAAACTCACGCTGGGCGAGTGTGCGTGCGTGCCCAGGATCCCGAGAGGAGAATGGAGAAGGGACTGAGGCGTGACCATCTCCCCTGGGGGGTGATTTCTCGCTTTCTGTCTCTATGTCTCTATCTGTCTGGCGAGCACACGCACCCTATAGCGAAAACTTCTCCAAAAAAAAAAAGCGCACTGGATTCTCACATGGCTGACCATGGTTTGAGTCCTGGAACTGGCTTTCTCACTTTCTTTTTTTTTTTTTAAATAATTATTTATTTTATTTTATTTATTCATTCTTTTTTTTTTTTAGTTTGAGCAGAGAGAGACAAAGGGTGAGAATGAGAGAGAGAGGAAGCGAGAAAGCAAGCCACCAGATTCAGGACTTGAACCCTGGTCGGCCATGTGGGAGTGTCCAGCGCCTTAACCACCATGCCACCTGCTGGTCCTGGCTTTTTCACTTTCTCTCTCTTCCTTCTCTGGTAAAATTAAAATAAATAAGTAAACTTGAAAATAAATAAAGTTAAATAAAAAATAATTCTTCAAAAAAAAAGACTAAATGAGAGCCATCATGGTGGTTTAGGTGCTGGATTCCCACAGAGCTAAGTGTGGTTCGAGTCCTGGACCCGGTGGCTTGAAGATCATGCTGGACATGTGGGCACGTGCCCAAAATCCTGAGATAAAAATGGAGACGGGATTGTGGCATGACCTTCCTCGTGGGGGGTAATTTCTCACTTTCCTTTTTCTCTTTCTGTGGTGAGTACATGTGCCCTATGGCAAAAACCTAAAACAAAAAAAAAAAAAGGAAAGGAAAGGAAAGGAAAGGAAAGGAAAGGAAAGGAAAGGAAAAAGAAAAAAAAAGAAAAGGAAGGGAAGGGAAGGGAAGGGAAGGGAAGGGAAGGGAAGGGGAGGGAAGAGGAGGGAAGAAGGGGAAGGGAAGAAGGGAAGGGAAGAAGGGAAGGGAAGAATAAATGAGCTGGGCCAGCTAGTGGAAGAATGGTTCAGGTGGCTAGATCCCACATGGCTGACTACACGATTTGAGTCCCAGACCTGGCAGCCTGAAAAACCACCCAGGTGTGTGTTCATGTGTGTCTAAATCCTGAAAGGAGGGAGAAGTGGAGAAGTGGGGGAGAACTGTAGTGCAAACCTCCCCTATGGGGCAGTGTGAGGTGCTTTCTCGCTTTCTCTCTCTCTCCCATCTCTTTCTGGCAAGAGCATACACCCTCAGGCACATTTTAAAAAAAAGCTATTTATGGATTGGCACATGTGATGTGTCTAGGCTTGATGATTCTGAATCAGATCAATAACTTCATGTTCTAACTTTCTCCCTCCATCAGAAATCAGATTCTCATCTCCCACATTTTAGGTAGAAAGTCATTGACTTTCAAATGTACAATTACATTTGTTCTTACTTTTTATTTAAAAAAATTTTTGTTTAGAGATTTTTTTCCTATAGGGCATGCATGCTCTCTAGAAAGACAGAGACAGAAAG